AGTATACACAGACAGAATGCTGGTTTTCTTTCAGCACAGTAATGTGATTGTTAATGTGCTAAATTGCTAGGTATCACCCAGAGACAGCATCAGGTCATTAACCTGATCCTAGCAATTTCAAAATCAATCAAGCCATAAATGAATTACAAAAGCTGCTGGCTGCACTGGTTACTTGAATGCGTTTAGAATTTTGGGCCAGTTGCACTTGAACTCTGCACATGATATGATACTCATGTGTGCTCAGTTTTTTATAATCAACAGCCATTGGAATTTGCTGATATTGCAGCTGTAATGGTTTTCTGCCAGATGTGATCTATGCAATGCAATGGAAATTATCCATTTGAATGATGATGTGGTAAACGGATGTTAGCAAAGCGTATAACATATGAGACTGGAGATTCTGTTCAGAGGGCAGCCTTTAAGGAAAACTTCATCAAAGAATAAAAAATTCACAAAAAGCATGGCAAAGTTGGCTGGAACTACAGCTCCCGACCTGTGGTTGGAACAAAACTTTTTTTTGTAGCATGAACTGTAAAAAACTGTTTCCTGCAATTGTAATTATGCAGTAATTGTTCTATGAAATGTGCATTTTGATTTTAAACCATATTTGCCACTTCAGCTCCATTCCTCTGTGTGGTGAAAAAGCTAATATTTTGTAATTAATTATCATATTATGATATTTATTAACACTAAAAAAATGATGTAGGATTTGCTTAGAATTTTTTCAATTATTTAAAAATGTACTCCGAATTTTAAATCGTTAGTAAATTTCACAAATTATTACAAAGACATGGCAAATAACACTTTGCATTAAATACGAAATTCTGAATTAGAAATATTGAAATATTTTCTTGTAAAACATACTCCTGTAATCTTTGTTTTATTTACAACTTCAAAAAATAATTTTTTAAAGTGCATCATTGCTTGTGAGTTTTGTCTGTTTCAAGTTCAAAGCGACATAAAAATATACTAGCTTAACATAAAAAATAAAAATATATTAGCTTTTACCAATATACTTGAGGCATGCAATGTATTTTAGGCTTTTTTAACTTTAGATTAATATTAATAGTAAAAATAGTAACATTTGCACCTTTTTTGACATAGTAAACAGTTTAGCAGTTAAAGTCAGTTCATTGTTGATTCAGTGATGCCATCGTTCAGCTCAGTTCAGCTCTCTTCCAATAGTGTCTGTGCAGTCAAGTCAACAATGTTGCCAGAAATTGTGTCCCCAACTAAGCAAGCCAAAGGCGACAGTGGCAAGCATCCAAGACTCCATCAGTGACAGAAATGGAGAAAAAAAACCTTGGGAGAAACCAGGCTCAGTCGGGGGCCCAGTTCTCCTCTGGCCAGACGAAACCAGCATGGTGTGCTTTAATTCCAAGCTGCAACTCAGGTCAGATTGAGCAGAGGACTCATCTGGTTCTCGTGGTCTTGAGCCGATGGTTGACGAGGTCTTCGCAGGGAATCTGTCTCTAGGGCTCATCTAGTTGACATGGTCTTCAGGGCTGTAGAGGTTGATCTCTAGGTGCTGATCCACCATCTGGTCTGGACACAGACTGGATCCGGGTGGCTACGGTGACCTCGGAATAAGAATAAAACTAATAAGACTAATATTAGCGTGGATAGCCATTGTTATGATGCCTCCTGAGCTACGCTAGGTAGATTTTTTCAGAGTTTGGCCGCTAAAAATGTTGATACTATTCTTTGGCTGTCTTTGCAAGCACTGCAATTTCCTATAGAAAACTCACATGTTTTCATTTCAATGAAACTCTCTCTCTCTCTCTCTGTCTCCATCTGTGGTGGTTTAGAGGAGTTGTACGTGTGGATGTTAATCTGCAGGATGTGGACATTGACCAGTGCTCCAGCAGTGGCTGGTTTGCAGGAACTCACCGCTGTAACTTGACAACCATGGAGGTGAGTGTTCAGTCTCATCACAAACACACAATGACTGACTGAGAGTTTGAGCATCACAGGAACACTCAAAACGATTACTTCTGACAGATATAAAGAAGTAAACAAAAATATCATTAAAAACAAATATTGAAATTAAGCGAAAAATTCACAAAAGCGCATTATGAACCACACAAAAATGTTATATTAATGTAATAGGTCATATTTTGGTGTTGAAATGCAAGTGGCTTGGCATTTATTTGTGCATTAACGACCTTTTGGACATTTTTGTCCTTTTCAGGTTTTTTTTATTTTTATCATTTTGCCTGTATTGCCAACTGCATAAATTTTGGCACAGGTGTGTATTTTTATTGGAATTTTACTATTTCACTTCCATTTCCTTTAATAAATCTGTTTTGCACTAGGTACAAAAAATTGTTCCTCTCAGGACCTTAAGGACAAACATGTCCCCATTGAAACCCATTAAAACTGCCATTTTTAATCGCAGTGCCATTTAACTGTAAAATTATGCAATTTTTGTTGATAGGCTTTCATTATTAACAAGGCTTTAAAATTAAATTTTTTACTATTTTTTACCAGATGGTGCCATTTTTTCAGGTTTGACCTATAAAGAAAATACTTGCTTTATTTCTGTTTTCTGCTTCTGCATATTATAGAGCCAATTGGATAAATAATGCAGCTATAATTGTGTGGGTGTGTTGGTATGGATGTCAGAGTGTGGTTT